TCTGAAATGTGCTCTGTTTGGTTATTTAAAACCGCCATTTATATTTGCTAAACTGCTCAGTCAATGCACAGCAACACCAATCACATAACAGAATTAAGTATTTATTTTTCATTGTACACTTACAAAAAATGCCAGGTAATAAAAAGTAGCTGCTATACACCATAAAAACAATTAAAAAAACATTGTGTTCACCATCACATCAAGAATTACAGTATATTTATACAATAAAAGGCACATGTTGCTCCCTTACAGACCCCCTACTGTATTTACACAAGAAAGTCTATATGTTTTTATTTAGGGTAACACTATTTTGTGTGTATGTACATTGGTCTGATCCAAGCAATCACAATAAAGCACAGGAGCCAGAAATCATGTATCCACTCAGGAATCCAATCATGCATCAGATGCTGTTTTCTTTAACTTGTCATAAGTAATGTTATTTTAATTTTTACAGCAAGTAAAAAAAAACATTTAAATACAAAATTTTGGAGAAAAAGAAAGAACAGTAACTATTAGGCACCTTTATTTCTAGATAGATTTTTTTTCTAAGTAAAATCCCTCAGTCAATGAATGGGATACCCTAAAAAAAACCCAAAACAAAATAAGATCACTTAAACCATAAACCAGTGTACTGTATTCTCTGGAGATGGTTTCACTTGTTCTTTGCCATAAATGTGAACAACCTTTGTGGCCTGAATTCGACCCTGAGAGACGTGTTTTTACCGTCTAAGTCCAAGCTTCATCTTTTTTTATTCATGCAAAGGAATGCTGCTACTCGTTGTTAATGTCCAAAACTCCCCAATGAAGCTTAAGTCGTCTTAAACACAGAAGGACTTTGAAATGATTTTAAAATATTTCAACAAAGGAATCATTTAATATTGGTCATATTTAGATTTTTTTTATAAATGAAAAATACGAGCAGAAACGTGAAATAAGCACAGATACATGAGATAAAAACAAATGACTTATTTAAAACAAATGTCTCAGCGCATATTTCAAAATTTCAAAATATAAAATATGGATTCTAACACCAGCTCACATTGCCATAGAAATCTGTTTGAAGTTTTGTTACAGTTTTAAAACTTGATTATAAAATATCCCATCTATATCTTCATAAAATTCTTTACATTTTCTGCACATTTACTCTGCAGTCAATATTGCTGAAAGAAAAATAATAATGCAGCACCTCTTTTTGCTGCAGCTGGTTGAGATGTTTTTTCCCCAAATACATGTGTAGAAACATCGTGTAATTACAATGATCATACACATACAAAAATTGGAGACAGCTCAAAATAAAAAAAGTGTCAGTTTTCAAAAAGTGGCAAAACAAGCTCCTTTTTTAATCGGGAATATGTTTAACTGACCTTTTTTTTGTCTAGATTGCATTTTTTATTGTTTTTGCTTGCTTTTACTATAACTAGCTGAGATAACATTGTCTTGAACAATGTTTAACACACACTGATGTAATGTTCACCTTTATGTTTTGGTATTTGGAGCCCATAATTTAAAATATATCAGTTTACGATTTGCAAAAATTCTACTACTAATTTTGATTTCTTAAAAATAATTTGTTGCTTTAAAAAGATCAAATAGCCTCAGGTTGGTAGCACCACTTCCTGTGTGTTATGGCTCAACATTTCATCCCAAACATCTTTGTTCTGAACTCCTTTTTGCTGGTTCTCCTCCCTCACATCTTAAACCCTAACTCCATGTTTCTCCCTGCCTCGATCCCTCTTCCGCTCCAAGGTTGTTTCCCAGGCTGCGCTAACAGGAAGTGAGCACAATGTGTTGGCTCACGAGAGTGATAACACAGACAGAAAGGGGCGGGCACTATCCCAGATGGACAGGAAGCCGAGCCCTGCTGTTTGGTTTAGCTGATTAAAGGACAAAGAGAGAGGAGACGTGGAGGAGAGACGGTGAGGCAAAACAAGGAGAGAAAGGCTGAGAGTAAGGACGAGGGGACCGAGCACATTGAGGGTATAAAAATATAAATGAAGCTGGCTCTCTGAGCGCTTCCAGCTATTGTGCTCACCATTTATCCAATGGCATTCCAAGTTGGCCTTAGTTTTAAGGAAACACGTTCAAATCCAAAGAAAACAGAATAAACAGCAGAGTAAATAAACTACAACAAATAAAAACTAAACATTTTAAAAATAAAGAAACCTTAACAATGACAAGTCTACATGACTAAGCCATGCGTCTGATTCAGATGTCGTCATTACAGAAAATTGGTGACCTTTTACCTTTATGATGGATTTTGAATGGCCTTTTAACTGCAGGCGCTATAGCCTATTACCAAGCCATTACGCAATAAGACAAAAAAGGCCTGCAGTTATTATTTAAATGCGGCTGAGTGATAAATTGCTCAGGTGCTCTACAGGGCCCGGTCAGGGGTTAGAAGGTCCGCAGGGAGTGGGTAATTACCGCAGAAGCTAATAATTGACTGACATATCCACAGAGGACGTTCAAGGATTCAGGATTTTTGAATGATGTCACAAAGTGCAATAACAATAAGAAGAAGCAGTGGCACCAGTGAAGTTGTCATATCAAACACATATTTTGTCAATAAAATGTCATGAAAAGCAAAAACGTTTCTGACGTGTGTTTGCATTTTCAGTAAAGTGAACAGGTATCTTTGCTACTAAAAGGAAATTCACATTTTTATGTAAATTGTGCCTGCAGTGTGCCGGGGGGGTGCAAACATCAGAACAGTAAGCTCAAATATCCAAGATGACCGTAAATGACTGACAACAACACAAAAGTCAGAGGTGGGCACAATTCTGTTAATCCGCTTATAGTGTAACTAYCGTCTCATTTAGTGGTTTAGCTTTTCTGCTAACGTTGGAAACCGTTAGCGGACCAATTAGTTTCCTCTAAATTAGGTTCCATTAAGTTTACTAAAAATGTCACAAGTGTAAAACTTCTATCTTTATGGCATTTATCTTGAAATAAATGAAAAACCATCTCATCTTATAAGCAGTGATGGGCGTCAGGCACCACACGTGTAGCATGTAGAATCTCTAACAGCTAAACTTCAAGCTAAGGGTGTCAAAAAGAAATAAAATAACATTTAATAATATTTAAATAACAAATACAAAAAATCACTATGTATAGAATATGGATGAGAAAGTATTTGCTATTTGTGTTTGACTAACTTCAAATGATATCTATAATAATACACACTTAGTTTGGATTGGCTGATTTGCCACAAACAATCCCACTCACCTTTAAATTAAACCAGTAGTAAATTAACAAGTTTGCATTAGTCCCAGCAGTCTTCAGCTGGATAGAGATAAAGATGTGTGACACAAAGATTGAATGACATTTGTTTTAGCAGTTAGCATTAGCTTCCACTAATTTAAAAAATCTGTTTAGTGTTTTAGGATTAGATTCTTGTTCAGCAGATTAGTGGTTAATGAACTTAACTTTTTGATTAGCTGTGCCCACCACTGAGAAAAGCATTAAAAAGGGCTATGGGAAAACAAAAGAATCTTTCATTTTCCTGAATCTGTCCATTTATCTGTTTTGAATTCAGCTAAAAGTACATATTCAAATGATTTCCAACATTTTGTGATATTTCTGGTTATCAATGTTTTGATCCGACAGTAGCCATAAAGTATGAGAGGTTAAAGTTATTCAAGCCACACCAGAGACATCATGACAGCACAAGTAGCTGCTTATGCTTCCTGAGTTGTGTGAATGACTTTTGTCTGAGCCTGCCTCGAAGGACTCAGCTTTCATCACAACAATAAATGGCGATGAGGAGTTCTGTCAAATAAAAACCTGGGAACGAGCTGTAATTCTGTTTGAACAGCAGTAGAGCCATTTCCTGTCTGCCTATCTGTCTATTGTCTTTTCTCTCTTCAGAGCAGAAAATAACGGGGGAAAATGGTTCGAAATGACTCATGTGGAAAATGGCTCCTTAGTTGTATCATTATATGGCAAGGCTTAAACTTGTGTTGCTGTTCGGTGTTTTTGTAGTCTTTTTAAACTTTTCTAGCAACCAAATTTAAGAAAGTCACATATTCCAGAATTGAAGATGATTAGTTTTTCCTCTCATGCAGCATTTTGCATCTCAAACCGGAAACAAATAATAGGAAACTGAATTGCGGTTTAACAAGCTTGCCTAAAAACAAGAGTTAATAGATATTTTAAATGCTGTATGATTTTGAAGAGAAACTGTACAAGAGGGCCAAGTTAGAACTGAGAAAGTGGGTATCCGGACCGAAACATGGCTACACACAAAAGCTGAGACATAAACAAAAAATACATACACAATTTTTCTTCAAAATCATCTTGGAACATTATGACCCAAGATAAATTTTGATCAGTCGGCAGAAAACATTTCTTCAGTTTGAATTTGCATCACGATAGTGAAAAAAAAAAGTTCATGGTGTCCTGAAATCATTAAAAATTAGTCTTCTTCTGTATGAAGCTGTTAGTTCTTACTTAACCCTATGATGTCATGTCCATGAGTTACTTTAAAAATTGCTTAGTTGATTGACATTAGCATAGAAAAAAAAAACAATAAGCAGGAAAAATGTAAAACTAGAAAATCCTTGACTCAGCCCACAGGAGCTTCCAGGATTCAATAAATCTCTTATTTTCTGATTGGGAGTGAAGAGAGAAGAGGCACAAGACACAAATGAATCCACTGACTTACTGGTGAAGCTAACTGTTTGGAGGGGAAAAAAGACCCCCCTGATTGTGTTTTTAAAAGTCAAAGAAGTTTCTTTTATGTGATTTTTTTTTCTGCATGGTTCTTGCATGTTTTGAGTGTTTTTATGGCTCTTTTCACTGATGCACACTTTCCATGTGTACATTCTGGAAAAAAAAGGAGGTTCTATCAGTACTGATGGTAGTAGTCGGCTCCATCCACACCGTACAGCTCAGCCAGAACCCTAAACCTTGGCCCCCATTCGTTGAGAAAGTCGTAATCCAAGTTTGACCCAGATGAAGAACTTTCCAGAGAGCTGAGACTCCCGGCTAAAGACTCGGGTCCCTCGTAGCCGTAGATGTGGAGAGTGTCATACGGGAATCCGTCTCTGTCGTGATCGGCTTCGTCCTTTTTCATCTCGATCATGGCCGCCATGTCGCCCTTGCATGCGGCGGGCTGTGAGTGGTGGCGGGGCTTTTGCACCATGGCGTACAACGCAGGGTGTGGAAGGCAATCTGGGTGGCGGAGCAGGGAGCCGTCGTTGCAGGCGGAGGTGAGGATGGAGACGTCGTAGCTGAAAGAGAGGCAAAATCCCATCATTTAACGTTCCGAGAGCTGATTAACTTTTCAGAATGCAGAGAAACCACTGGACCGTGAGTGGAGAGAAATTTGAACAAAGTCTGTAATTTTGTTTCCAGGGTGACAAATATTTGGACAAAACAGCAGTCATGGTAGGATTTTGGGGAAAGAAAGATTTTATCCTTTCAAAACACAAGCCTTATTTAGAAAGCCTTTTTAAATATTAAATGGAGAGTTTTGGCTTCGAAAATAGGTCTTTTATCTTGAGATTTAAACTATAAAGACAAAACTCAGCTGCTGGTACAGATTGAACATTATAGAGAGCACAAAGAAGAAAAAAAACAACGATTGCTCATAACTTCACAAACAATAGACCAGGGCTTTTCAACGACGTCACTCCGGGGGCCACATTTACTCAAAGCCAACAGTTTAGGGGCCGGACATCCCTGAGTCGGGGTGGGGGTGGGGGAAGTGTTGACCTTAAATAGGTGCAACACTGCGGAATGTAACAAAGCAATTATTATTATTTTTTACCATTTGAGTGTATTCATTTTGTTGCATTGAATCATAAATTTGAAATTTGCAAATGATTTTAAACTTATTCTTATGTCAAATTAAGTACAATTTTATATATATATATATTTTTTTACTTTGGGAGGGATTATTAGCAGACAGGATGAAAGCTACCTGTTCATAGGCCACTATTTGAATAGCCCTGCAATAGATCATTTTGTAGGAAGAAGTAGCCTAACATACATCACAGGTCAACCAAGATAACCTTAAGAGTACTATAAAAGCCCCATTTGAATTGTGCAAATTCAACAAGCACAAAAAGCAGATTTATACCTTACAAATATTTATAAAAAATCTCATCTATGATCCTAAAGGAACGTTTAATACACAACAGTTTAGAGCAAATACACTGTGTCTGCATAGTGGCCCAAGTTTACTGGTTGAAGTTGTTCTTTTCTAAAAGCATTTCCATTGAAACCTCAGCGTCCTCCTCCCCCCTCAAAAAAATGTATGAGCTCGGCCCTCTACGCATTTGTAGCAACTTTTAACTATGAAAGGGTCTGTTTGGCAACTTTATTGGAATAAAGAAAATCATTTTTGCTATCTTGCAGCATTTTCAGACTTGAGCAGTCGATGTATTTCGAAGGTGGAAATTCTCTGTGTGAAAGAAGAAGCAGGAAACCTGTAATTGAAGGGCTCAGTTATATTTAGGCATTTTAAAAGTGTCTCGCCTTATTTCTCCTCATCTACATACCCATTAGTGTCCATCTCTCCCCCTCCCTCCTCATCGTACGTGACGAGCTGCTCGTGGATCTCTCCGCTGTTCTTCATGTTGGCCAGAGAATCCTTCTGGTAGCGTTTCCTCATCACGATCAGGATTACAATAACTGAACGGAGCAGAGAAGAAATGGGATGTAACAATCCAGTAGACAGGGAGGAAAATGCAAAGCCTAGTCTCACAAATTCATTTAAAAATGCCAGATAAGTCAAATACCAATAAGAATTTCAATATGAGACCAAAACATTTTGGTTGGATGAAAGTCACTGAACTCAAAGGGATGTCTTGGAGGAAACAAACTCAGTCAGAGTTGAACCGAAACAATCTCTGCGCAAAGAGAGACAACAGCGAGGAGCACGAAAAACAGGAAGATAGGCCCAGTCAACACAAGGAGAGAAGAGGAAATTCGTTCAAGAAAGGCAAGCTGGCAAAGTTTGAATCAGACCAAACAGGCGATAAAGAATTGGAAATGGGGTCAAGACAAGGAATGTGGAGAAAAGGAAGCGAGAGAATAAACACGTTGAAGAAACAATGGAAACGTTAAAAGTGAGATATGGATGCAGAACAGAAGTATGTTTGTGTTTAAGGTTGGAAAAAAGCTTTTCAGGAACTAAAATAAGACAAAAGTATTAAAAAGAGGATGAAGTGGAAAAGTAAGCAGAGGTCACATCTTACAAACATTCAAACAAATTAAAACAAAACACATTTTAAACAGAGCAAACAAGTTTTTTATCTTGTTTTTCTAAATAAAAAAACACACACATTTAGACAGCTTTAGTTTCTCCAAGAGAAGACAAAAATATAACTGCTCTCAGTTTTAAATGTTTGAACATTGCTAAACATATTTAATTTGATCAATTTTTGAGTTAAATAATACCTTTTGCTTTTATTTCTAGGTATTTTTTATATATAAAATGCCTTAATATGGATGAAATTGGTCAATGAAGTCCTGCTTTTATAGTCCCATAATTAATGTACATATTTTCTTTTGGCACGGTGGATCAGTTGGTAGAGATGATGCCTCTCAGCAAGAAGGTCACGGTTCAAATCCCGGCCCAGGGACCTTTCTGGGTGGAGTTTGCATGTTCTCTCCGTGCATGCATGGGTTCTCTCCGGGTACTCCGACTTCCTCCCACAGACCAAAAACATGACTGTTAGGTTAAGTGATAACTCTAAATTGTCCCTAGGTGTGAGTGAGAGAGTGAATGTTTGTCTTGTTTGTCTCAATGTGTGGTCCTGTGATGGACCTGCAACCTGTCCAGGGTGTAGCCCACCCTTTGCATTGTGGCTGCTGGATATGGGCACCAGTGACCCACGCAACCCTAGAAAAGGTATAAACAGGTATTGATGATGGATGGATGGATGGATTTTTTTTTTTACCAAACTGTTATTTCAGTCCTGTTGTGTATATTTTAGATTTAAGTTACTGAAATTATTGACACCATCTCTTGTAGAGGACAAGTATGTATACTGAACGCATCACTGTGATAACGTTTTGGATAATTATAATAATACTGTCATGTTCAAACTTTAAAAACAGCTCAGAAAAAAAGACTCAGTCTGTCCTGTCTGATTATACCGAGCTGAGTTCAACAAGTTCAGCTCGATAAGAAAGTTGTTTTAAAAGAAACTTTGGGAAGTTTTCGTGTGACCTGAATTTCACCGTGGCCGCGGAGAGAATGAAGGAGAGGAAAACAAGAGAAGGAGCAACAAATGAGGCAAACAGCTGCTGACTGAGGCAAGGAGGAAGAACAGGGGACTCAAAATGATGAGGGAATGAAGAGCAAGGACAGATGAGGAGAAGAGGAAGGCTACGTTTGACATTAGATTAGGCCCCAGGCGTTGGTCCCGATATGAACCCTCCTCTCTCTCGGCGGACGGGCAGCATTAGCCATGCCTTTTAGATGAGGGCGAACGGGACTAATTTGGGTTTGCATGGGAAACTAACAGATTAATCTTTTACAACACATGCTCCGAAGTTTAATAAGCTTTGGAGATATCAGACTTAGAAAGACAACAGACGAGAGGGAGAGAAAGTTATATATTAAAAAAAGGAAGGCAGAAAGAAGTCCTGTCTTTGTTGAAGACGACTGAGAGAAAAAAAAATCTTTCTGTGTGTCAAACCTGACTTCATGTGAGAAAATGTGCCTGTGAATGGTAAATTGCTTTGGGCCTCGACAGATAATGACAAGTGCATTTAATAGTTAATCTAGCCTGCTTTGGGGGTGTTTGATAAAGAGAAAGAGAGACAGAAAGAGGAAGAGTGGTTGGAAAAGAGAAAGACAGAGAGACCCTGAGGGAAAGAGGAAAAGACAGATGAAGAGGAAAAAGGGGGGAGAAAGGCACGATAGCGAAGGAGTGTATTAATAGTTAATAGGCTGAGTGTTTGGTGGTGTTTGATAAGCAGACAGCACGTAAAGAGCTGATAAACTCTCCTCATTACCACTCCTATTCTTTCACTGCTTTTCCCACAATTCTCCTCTTCAGCTTCTCTCAGACCTCTTTCTGTCCCCGTCACTCAGCTGGTCTGATTGCACCCCCCGAATCTCTGTCTCAGTTGCCTTCAATCTGTCTCTCACCCATCTCAACATTCACATCCCCGAGACTAGATAGAGGACTTCTTTCCCCTCGCATCGTTCTCGTCTGTTTCCCTTCAGTCTTCAACACTTCTCATCTCWTATGTTTGACCAACTATCTCCAGGGTGTCCCTGATCCAACATGACAACCATTTCAGTTTTTTTTTCTTTCTTTGGGGGGAGAAAACGGGGAGCAGAGGTGAAGGTATCAAAGAAATTTTTGAGCTCAGGCGTTATTTCCACATCCTCCACTGCATTATTCATAAAACCGGGGGGGGGGGGGGGGTCCCCCTACAAAGCACAAATCCTGCAAAGCAAGAGCAAGTGAATCACATTTCAATCACTCAGTGATGCAACTATCACTGAATATGAGTTTTTTTTTCTTTCAGAAGACAACAACATTGAAAATTTAAGGATTACACTTTCATTAAAAAAACTGATGCAATAATCATTGTGTTCAAAACACATTTGATTCTCATACTAAAACTAAACAAAAAGGTAAAAACTAACTCCTTTTTATGTATATATGCTAATAACTGACAAAATTGATGACTTGTAAAATAAAATCTATGGATCCCACAAGAGGACATAGAAGGCCTTTTTTTCTTTTGCATTTCCATACAATACTTCACAATACTTCAGTATATCATATTGACTGTATTGAATGAGACTTTTATTTTGAAATATCAGTTACTGAAACAAAATGGTGATATTGCGCATGTGAGATGTTTATGCCAAAGCTGACTGAATTGGTGGACATGAAGTTATTAATAAACTATCAGGCACAATAAATCCTTACCTTGTAATACTTTGCGGGATGGTTGCCAAACCAGAATACAGCCAGTCATGGAACAGACACTACAGCTGTGTTTGAGATTCATGGAGTTTAATTTTAAAACTGGCCTTAAAGGTGTAGTGAGGTAACACAAAATTATTATGTGGGAAGATAAAACGTATTGTTTGTTAATACAAAAGTATTACGTTGAAATGCAAAAGTAATGTCGCTTTGGGAGCTCCGTAGTTTAAGCAATCAAATGATTTTTTTTCTTTTAAATGTAGTCACTGCTACAATACAGTATCTGTAGATACAATTCAGCCTGTGTCTTTCTGGTCTGTAACACACCTGGACAGGTGTGTAAAAAGGAAGTGCCCTCAGGGATAAAACACACAGAGATGACTGATTAACTACACACAAAAACTACAGAAAACAACTTAATTATGTTATCATCACCACGCATAATGCTTTGTCATTAAACTTGCAAAATCTTTAAAGCAAAGAAAAACTATGAGCCAAATCTAAAAGACTGCAACAAGATTATTTATGCAGTTTAATTTCAAAACTAAAAGTGTGAAGGTTTTGCACTTTTATAATATTAAGATCTGAATTTGCCTATTTCCTATTTTTGGGAGCCCAAAAGCTTGCGTTTTGTACTTTTCCTCCACATCAGACAAGCAAAATGGAAAAGAAAGGTTGTTTGATCATTTCCYCCAATGCACAAACCAAGAAATTCTGCCAACAAGTAATCCCAGATTTAACTAATAATGTTATGTTTAAAACTGACAGCTTGATAAAAACATTTTTTGTTACAAGTTTGGGTTTTTGTTAAGCACGGCTGAGCAGAGATGAGGAACAGGCTGCAACAAGCTTGTTAATTTCACCTTGTTCCTCATTTTTCATTTTCAAACATGGAGCGTTGTCATTTCAGAAAATAAATATAATTTGTGCAGCTAGACAAAAAGCATTTTTTATATACAAAAAAACCCCACGAGAATAAGACAGATTTATTTTTTATTCATCTATAAATGCGATGACTTTAAAAATACAAGAAAAGGTAATGTTCAATAGATTTAGATAAAATGAGCAAAACTATGCAAAAWTAATCAAATTACCAGCTAAACTAAAATTAATAAAAGTAGCATTAATTTAACAAATACATAATCTTTCTTGCATGCTAAAGTTTGAAATAAATGTCTTATCTGATGTATTCAATTCTCTACAGTACATAGGGGACTTTTCTTGGTTGTGTGAGATTTTAGCAAAACCATGATTGGYGAAGTTTGGAATATGCAAATGTTATTAGGTGTGGGTGGAGTTTGGAAAAACTGTGATTGAKCAGATTGATTTGTGAGGGAAGCAAAAAAGTTGAAGTAAGGTTAATGGTAAAATTATTGTGAATATGTAAACACAATTTATTAAGTACAAACTTTGTGTGGCTAGCACCTTCCTGTCTTGAGTTACAACTTAATATTCATGTTGAAAAATAT